CATATAAATTTATCACTTTCCTCTTTCAATCTAATAAATTTTTTAATCTAAAATATCACGTGCGATTATACATCAAAAACTTGTTAATCAAAAAGAAATTTAGCATTTTACTTATCGCGATAATCGATAAATCAAATCGAACCATCGGATGAATAGCACTTTACTTGCCGGCTAACTTAACACTATTTTTTATTTTATAACTATAACAAACTAAAAGTTAAATGTCTAATTATTAATACATAAATTCGATTGACTTTTGTAAACAAGAAAAAATAAAAATTAAGATCCTAATATATATAACCCTTGACTAATCAATAATTGAGTTGAGGGTCACTAAGCACTAGTGATTTTCTTCAAGTACTTGTTTTTAGTTAAATATTAAATTATGAATACAATTATTTTTTAAAATATCTCATCTGATATTCAATATTTATATTATAATCTAATTAAATTTAAATGTCATATCAAAAAATCTACATTAAAAGTGACCCATAACAAATGTGATTCCATACCTTCAATTATTGAATAATAAATAAATATTTTATTATTTTTCATTCGATGTCCGATACGCACGACATAGAATAACGAATAAAGTTATGCAAGGCACATAACATTTCTCTTTTTCTAAAGGACACACGTGAGTGTCACATGCAAAATGGGAGAGTAGTTGGAGGCATCAAAACTACTCACGGAGGTTCAAAAAACGTGGTGGGTCCCACGTGAACATGCAAGTGGACCCTACATGGTATTTTTTTGAAAATTAATTATTAAGGGACAAATTAGAAGGTACAATAACAACGTACCGTTGGTATATTCTTACAAGTGAGGTCTCGAAAATTGAGAGAGTAATGTGTACGTAGTCTTACTCATATTTTGTGAAGTTAAAAGGTTATCAGTATATTTTTACAAATAATGTCTCGAAAGTTGAGAGAGTGATATGTATGTAGTTTTCCTAATATTTTATGAAGTTGAAAGGTTATGTTTGATTAGCTCAACTCGAGCCTAACAAAATCAATAAGAAAAAGGAGATATATAATAGTAATAACTTAGAATATAATAATCAGAAAAAAAACATATACTAATAGTAAATTCAAAGAATATAAACTTGTAAAGTATTTAAACTATTTAACCATATGGGTGTATATAATTTTTATTCTTTTAAAGTATGGAACTGTTTTATACATTATTATTAATCATATAAGTAATTAGTTTATGCATTATAGTTTTGTTATAAACTACCCTTTTGAGTTTTGACCGTGAATAGTTCTCACTTTGTTCCGAAATATATTTCTACAAAATTGTTTGAACATAATATTCTTATAAAATCACTCTAAAATATCAAAAATAAAATAAAATAACATCAATCAGTATTCATATCCAATCACAATTTCAAATTTCAGATAACCATTTTCAACTTATAAATAAATATATTTTTTTTCAAATTTCACAATTCTTATATCTAAACTATTGCTAGATTTTCTCCAATTAAATTTCAAACCTTTGACTCACTAATTTCAAAATATTTTTCAAAAATAATAATAATAATTTTTTTAAAAAAATCTCAAATCATTACAATTTAATGGATAATAAAAAAATCACAAGATTATCGCCGCCACGTGCGGTGTCTTAAAGTCAAAAGATTTTTTTTCCATAAATTAAAATAAAAACAAAAAATACGTGTCGGTTTATGATTGGCTGTCTGACGTGTGATTTGGAGCCTATGGGAACAAGGACACATCGGTTCAATCGCCCGACCCGTTACGTAAGCGGCCCGCATTCTAGTAAAAGACAAAAATACCCTTGTGATCAAATTTATTGGCAATTATATCCTAACAAGTAACGAGACAGGTATTGTTCATGTTCATGCAAACGTTCAGTGTACTTTCACTTGTCATGTAGCAGTCATTTGGACTATTCAATATTGCCTTTTCATTATTATAATCGGGCATCTAAACACATAATAAAATATCGATAACGAACACGTTTGATTTAAAATTTAGAGGTATATTTCACTCATATTATAAGATCGGGGTGTGAACGTGGAGCCAGTATTAGAAGTTTGGGGTTCTAAATTTTCTTCCTTTTCCTTACCATTGAGCTATTAATTAGTTTTTTCAGGGGTTCACAAGTTATTACTTAATTTTCTGATACAAATATAGGGTCTACGGAAAAGAAACTGGATTCGTTCGAACCTATGAACCCCCACCTAGCTCCTCCCTTGTCGGGGTGTATTTACATTTAGTTAGTCAAATTAAAAAGTATTTTTTAAGACTATCAATAGTTCGAGAATGAAACTAATAATTCAGTGTCAGAATGTTTTCAATATTTTTGTCATCTCTTCTTTTAAGTTTTAGCTAACATGCATTAGCCTCAAGAGTATTTTTAAATCTTTCAATAGTTTGAAGATGAAACTAATAATTCGTTGTTGTCGGAATGTTTGCAATATTTCAGTCATCTCTTCTTTTAAGTTTTAGCTAACATGCATTAGCCTCAATAAGCCGTAAAATATGAGGTTCATTTCAATTGAGTATGAAACTATCTAATTCTTTGTTGAATTTGGATGAATGATCAAGTTTTTTAGCAATAAAATTTGCATATTTATTTAAAAACAACAAAAGAAGTATAATAAGTAATGATTATTAACAATTTATTAAATAAAATCTTTGAACTTTAAATAATTTGTGTCACATAAAATGGATCAGGAAGTATAAGATTTTGACTACAAAATAATTTATAAATACTAATTATTTTACTAAAACAAGTGTTAAATTAGTCAAGTAATTATATAAATTAGAGTAACTTAATTGTATAACTAAATAAAACATTTATTTCTTGGTAAATGAATTCGAAAGGATGGAATTTTATTTTATTTTCCTTAATATGAAAGTAGTTGATGTCTTTTTCACATTCTAAACACCTTCTCAAATTATTTATTTATTTTTATCAACATTTATGTATGAATAATAAAAATATGAGAACAGTTACAATTTGCAAAAAAGATTTCATTCCTTAAATGTAATATATAATATTCAAGTTTTGAATTTGAAAGGATCATAATGAACATAAATTTTCCAATAGTAGTACATAGTATATCCAATAATCAATATGCAATTTCCATCTATACTTGAATTGAAGAGGTAGAAAATAATTTTTTCGTCTTCATAAAAATAAGAATAAAAGTGCATACTCTTGCATTAAAATAACATAAAGTCAATATTTTTTTTGATGTATATCTCTGCTATAATAAATGTGCATATCGCGACAAGTTGAGATAATTTTACATTTATTCAAATTAAATAATCTTTTGCGTGGAAATAACGCAAAGTTAATATTTTATCATATATAAATATATAATAAATGTGCATATCTCGACAAATAAAAATATTCAAAATTTGAAATAAAAATAGATTTACTTCAATATAAAATATTCAAACTTGACAAAAATAGATTTACTTCAATATTCAAAAGTCAAAATAATAGTAACTGCAAAAATATAGATTTTCAGTTATCAAATAATTCCAAGATCACATAAATATTGTTTTCCATTTTTATTTTCTCCATGTTAATTTTATTAAAATGGAAAATACAATTTAATTTAATCATAATTACAAAAGAATAAAGGAAAACAGTTTTAATTTTCTTCATGAAATTATAACAAGGAAAACTTAAAAATAATAATTAAAAAGCAATGCTTGAAACTGGTAATTAATGCAAAATACATATCTTGTATACATATATTTATCAATTATTATTAAATATTACATGCTATGATTTTAATTGTTAATTAATTTAATCTAAATATCATGTGAAAAAATAATAATTTTGGAAATATAGAGTAGGTAAATAAAAGGAAAATAATTTAGTAGAAAATAAGGAAAATACTATAAACTTTGACCAATATTTAATATATATTTTTTCATAGTATTAATATAAAAAAGATTATAAATATAGATTTTGAATATCTAAATTATACAAAATTAATTAATTAATTTAATTTAAATATCATTTGAAAAAATAATAATTTCCCATTGGAAATATAGAATAGGGAAATAAAAGGAAAATAATTTAGTAGAAAATAAGGAAAATACTATAAACTTTGACCAATATTTAATATATATTTTTTCATAGTATTAATATGAAAAAGATTACGAATATTGATTTTGAATATCTAAATTATACAAAATTAATTAATTGATTTAATTTAAATCTCATGCGAAAAAATAATTTCCCATTGGAAATATAGAGTAGGGAAATAAAAGGAAAATAATTTAGTAGAATATAAGGAAAATACTATAAACTTTGACCAATATTTAATATATATATATATTTTCATAGTATTAATATAAAAAAGATTACGAATATAGATTTTGAATATCTAAATTATACAAATTAATTAATTAATTTAGTCTAAATATCATGTGAAAATAATAATTTCCCATTGGAAATATAGAGTAGGGAAATAAAAGGAAAATACTATAAACTTTGACCAATATTTAATATATATATATTTTCATAGTATTAATATGAAAAAGATTACAAATATTAATTTTGAATATCTAAATTATATAAAAAATAATAATTAATAATCCAAATACCATGTGAAAAAATAATAATTTCCCATTGGAAATATAGAGTAGGGAAATAAAAGGAAAATATTTATCACAATATTTTCATATTTTCCTTTTAAAGTCAAACATTATAAACTTTGACCAATATTTTAAGATATATATTTTCACAATATTAAATGTAAAAAAGATTACAAATATCTAAATTATACAAATATTTAATTTTATAATATTTCTATTTAACTAAGTAATAATTTTTGAATTTTTTTTAGAGTTAAAATATAATTATCAAAAACAACTTTATTCTCAGGACTCAAATTATTATTTTTATTAGAGAACGTTTTACCTCCTATAATAATAACACTCCTTAAAAAGAGAACCAATCTTTTCCCCACCCACCCCCACCCACTCACTATTTATTTATTTTTTTCCTTTTAATTTTTTTTCTTCTCTCTAAACAAAATCAAACCAAACCCTTATTCCATTTTTCCTCTTTTAATTTCTCCCTTTTGCTCTCTCTGTGTGTGAAAAAAAAATGAAAATGGAGGATTTGGACCCAACTGCATGTTTCATGGTGGATGATGACCTTCTCAACTTCTCTTTGGAAGATGAAACTGTTGAAGAAGATGATGAAAAATCAACTATTACTAGCAAAGACCCACTTTCTTATTCTTCTTCGTCTTCAACAAACCCTCTTGTTAGTCTTCTTCCCCACCCTGTAAGTCACTCAAATTTCACTGGTTGTTAAGTTTTTTTGTTCGATTTTACCCTTTTTGAGACTACCCAGAAGTTTTTTTGGCCGGAAATGTTGTCACCGGTGTTTTCCGGTGAGTTGAACAAAACTTCTGGGGGTTTGGAGGGTATTTTTGTAAATGATGGTGTAAAAGGTGGGCAGTTTTGAAACGGTTGTTGGGGGAAGACTTAGAAAGTTGATTGACAGGGTGAAAGTTGTGAGGTGTTTAGAGGGAATTTAATTTTTTTGGACTATTTTGCCCTTGAAACCCTAAGGCTACAGAATCATGGATGAATGACATGTGGGGGACTGGTGATTAAGAAAAAAAAGTTTTTTTTTTTGGAATTTAATTAAATTTAATTTATTAATAAAATTTGGGATTTTTTTGTTGAAAGAAATGAAATGTGGGGTTATTTTGGGAATTTTGGAATGTCTACAACATGACTTTATTGGTTGTCACTATGTTTGAGCTGTACAAATAAATGTGCCATATCAGTTTCAACTTGCATTTCATAATGTACAAAGACATTTTTGCCCCTAACATCAATGTTTATTTACTCTCCAATATGTCGAATTTGTGAATTGTACTAGTTGGAAATATTGACTTTTTGTTTCCTCAATTTATGCTTTTGTTGAGTGTGTCTATCGGAAATGACTTATCCACCTCACACAAGCCGTGGCGGAGCCACACAACACCCCTTTTGTCGGAAAATTAAAGTGTGTAGCTAGTTAAGTTTTATTTTTTTTATACGTATTGATACCTTGACTTCTAGGCGATTTTACTTTTTCATATTTTGACATCTCTTAGTGGAAATTCTGGCTCTACCGTTGCACACAAGATAGGTGTAAGGTCTACGTACACTCCACCCTCTCCAGACCCCACTTGTGGTATCTCGCGGTGTATGTTGTTGTTCTTGTACTTAATTAGATTCCTTCCTAGATATTTTTCACCCTTTGATATAATCTAAATAATACAGTTAATTGATATTTCTTATAAGAAAACTTGTAAATTGAACAATTAAAAAGAGAAGAGTTAGAGGTTGTTTGAAATAAGTGGAGTGGCTTAGTTGAGATTAGTAACATATTGCATTTTGCAGGAATGTGTAGAAGAAGAATTGGAATGGCTGTCAAACAAAGATGCATTTCCAGCGATAGAGTTTGGCATTCTTTCCGAGAACCCGGGTATGGTATTTGATCACCATAGCCCGGTTTCGGTGCTGGAGAATAGTAGCAGCACTAGTCACAGCAGTGGCAATGGTGTTGTTAATGGAAATGCTTATACGAGCTGCTGTGTCAACTTAAAAGTTCCGGTTAATTACCCTGTTCGTGCACGGAGCAAGAGAAGACGTAGAAGACGGAGAGGTGGGTTTGCTGACATGCCAAGCGAGCATTGTCTGCCGGTGACACAACCAAGTTTCAAGAACGTTAAGCAGCGTGAGCCATTGCTTTCGTTACCAATGAATTCAGCTAAGAGTGCTGCTAGCATTGGGAGGAGGTGCCAACACTGTGGAGCTGATAAGACCCCACAATGGCGGGCAGGCCCTCTGGGGCCGAAAACACTGTGTAATGCTTGTGGGGTGCGCTATAAGTCAGGCAGGCTGTTGCCAGAGTATCGCCCGGCTAATAGCCCTTCTTTCTCGGCTGCTGCGCATTCCAACTCCCACCGGAAGGTTTTGGAGATGAGAAAGCATAAGATTGGAGTGGGAGGAATGTTGATTCATGAAGCTTGTGGATATAGAGTAGAACAGTAGTGAGTCATCTGCAGCGTCTTTTCGGATATTTTTCTTCATTTACTATAGTTAGCATAGACTATAGGTTTTTGTTGTAATGGTCTTGATGGTCAGTGATTTGCTTTGGTTTTCCATCAAAATCCACTAGGAATTTTGAACTTAGTTTGTTTTATTATATGCTTTTAAGATAGAAATCCAGAAAGAAGAGCTCCTAACAAAGATTTGGTTGTTTTTTAATCCTTCCTACTTACCTTTGTCATTTGCATGGATTGGAAATGATACATTTTTGAATCTTGAGAATGATGTTTGTGGCAGTTGCTGGAAATGTACTTGCTAAGCAGTTTTAACAGTTGCAGAAGGTGGTGTTCGCTCGAGATGGAAGTTTTGAAGGTTACAGTGTTCTAATTGTTTGAGGGGGGTTTGATCATCTTACTTTGGTTTTACCCCTTTATGTAATGAAGCATTCTGCAATGTATTGTCTACTTGTTTGAATAAAAGAAAGAAGATGGAACTTATACACACAATTCTCTTCTCATGGTTGAATGGTGATTATATTCTGAGTAGTCTTCATGTTTGATTGTTGAAGCTGAAGACTTGTTTGCTGGATGGATCTGAAACTCGAATCTGAGCGCTGCTTTGTTTTCTATGTTGTGTTACATCAACTTGTTCGACGAAAAAAGCAGTGAGTTTAACATAATGACCTTATGTTGACTATAACTTGCTGGTTTTTCTTGTTCCAAGTAAGTTTTTTTTTTGGCTTGATACTAGTGCTGAAGGGCTAGTATGAAGTGTTGAGTTGGGATACAGATATTGAGTTTGTCTCTAGCAGTATAATCTGTATTACTGTCCAATTCTGCTAATATGCATGAACTTTGTTAGACAATTGTAGATATTTGGTGTTTGTGTCACAGGTTGTGTGCATATCGATTAATTCATGGAGTATCGCTACCTCCTTCCAGCACAAGTGCTGGTAACTCTGTCCTCCAAAGTTACAAATTGCTTTTGTTTTTGCTGAAATTTGAACCTCAGCTTTGGTCGGCTGAGTTTTTCAGTAACTGTGCTGGTGCGAGTCAGTATCGAGTAAAATACTCAAGTTTTTGTTGGGACAATATTTGACAATGTCCACCAATTTTTTTTTATCTTGTTTATTAGCTCATTAGTTAGGTAAGAGTAGAAGTGACAATACAAAATGTTAGTGATATTTTTCTTTTTCTTTGTTTTGTGCTTATCAGTGACTTGGATTCTATCTTTTAATAGTGGTCTTGGTTGGATTTTTTCTTTAATCTTGATGGCTTTAGCATTTGCTTTAAGTCAGTTCCTGTAGATGACACTGAACTTTTGTTGTGTTGTGCATTTTATAAACCTTCTTGTTTGTGGACTATATCAATTTTTTACAGATTAGTCAAAGACGGCTGCACTGATATATATATATATATATATATTTCTGAGTGGCTGCTATTTCTCATGGTGTCACTAATGTGTGTTGTTTACTAGTTTATGGTTACATATGATGATGACAATAATGAGTGATTTTAAATGATTTACTTGCTTTGACTCATGCATAGTTTCAAGGTCAGGTTGCTCGGTGTACGAAGCATTTTATATTAACGCAAGGTGTCGTACTCCAAGGGTATGTGTTGTACTTGTAGGTGGCTTGCCTTGACACAAGTATTACTAATTGATTCCACGATTTGAAGTTGTGACCTATAGGTTACACCAAAACAAGTTTACTATTGCTTCAAATTGTAATCCAACTTGTGACTCGGCCCTAACTATCGACTCGAGACCGACTTGAGAATCGACCATGACTTCGGGACCTGACTCCCAAACCCATTCCCCGACCCTAACCCTTGACGTGAGATCGACATGAGAACCGACCTTAACTTTGGACTCGACTCCCGACCCCATCCCTCGACCTGAGATTGAGAATTCATACCCAAACTGGTCGACTTCGGACCCTACTCCAAACCCAAAGACCTGACTCTCGACCTTGACCTTTCGATCCCGAGGTCGGGTTCGTAGGGTCGGGGACAAGTCAAATCTTGGTGAATTGTACTTTGACTTTGAATGTAGATAACCATTATTCCAAACTTTTTTTTTATAAATGAATTATCAGATTAGTTCTAATATTGAATTTTAAAGTAGAATATCATTTACTCATGAAAATCTAGGTCAACATATCTACCACCCAACTCATTCTATCACCCGACCCGCTTTTACAAATATGAACAAACTGAATTATTTTCTATTTTATGTTGACCCGCTCTCAACCCGTCCATTTGCCATCACTTAATTGGTGAATATGAATGAGAGTTTGCTAGGAATGACCAGTAAGTTTTAGTGGTTATAAATACAAAGCATATTCATAGGCCGGCTCTTATGGATATAGCCATATTAGGATATATATCTTTTCTTGGCCAATTGGCAACTTATTTGCACAACATAATTAATACACAATGCCTTTACTTTCATTTCATATGATAATTCACTAGCATGCTAGCTTTTCCATATCAAATCATGGTTCCTCTAAAATATTTACTGTTTTTATATATATATTTTGACAGATCGTGAAAATTCTGACTTCGACACTAAGAGGTTATTTGGTGTGAGGGATAAAAATAATTAGTGATGGAATAAAAAAAATTGTTTCTTGTTTGGTTGACATGTTTATGATAACTTATCCCACCATTTATACCATAGTGATGGAATAAGTTATCCCAAAATAGCTAATCTTGGGATAACTTGTTTCTAACCAAACGACAGAATAACTCATATATATTCCATGACTAAGCTACAAGATTTTCTTGTGTGCAATGAATGAAGGGTCTATACATTTTTGGTTTCATTGAGAGAATAAGTGAGACATGTGCCCCATGTCTATAAAAGAAATATTCACACACAAGAAGTAGGGCATCACACAATCTCTGTGAAGATTTTCTTTTAGGTTTTAGTGGTGTAGATATTCTTTTTTTTTTTGTTGAACTTCCTAATTTCTAAAATTAGCTTGATTGGTATGGCATAAACTATTTACACTATATAAAAACATTTTTTGATATATTTGAATTATTTACACATCTGAAAATATATTTTTTTATAAATGTCTCACTTGCTTTTAACATGTACTACTAAGTATTCAATATTTTTCATTGAAAAATATTCAGTTGCTAACTTGCTATTTTCGCGGATATTTTAATTGAATTGGTGAGGGAAAAAATAGCAGTATTTTCATACGAAAAAATTAGAAAGCTTCGTAGTGTTTTAGTGCGAATATGTTTTCTATCATGCGTGTTTCCAGAGAGTTGATTCAAAATAACACAAATTTCTCATTGATTCGTGATGGAAAAAATATTTATTTTTAGTAATGACGTAATCATCACAAATATATTGTTTTCACATGTACAAAATATAGAAAATTAGAATTCAAATTTCACCAAAGACCAAAAGAAAAAATCCATCCCATCAACCTTAGTTATGGTGATCAGTGGCAAAGTTAGAATTTTTAACAAGGGGGTTCAAAATTTGAAGAAGTAAACACACGAACTAACCGAAGGAGGTTCGATATCTACTATATATACATACAAAAGTTTTTTTTTTTTTTTAACTATGTATAAGTAGTAATATTATCCATCGAATGGAGTTCGGATGAACCCCTAAATGTATGTTGGCTCCGCCCTTGTTGGTGGTTAGAACTATTCGATATACATGTTAATGATAAATAACACATATTTTATGAAATAATTAAAGTGTGTCTTGCTGATCCGAATATCAAAAAAAATAAAATTAGAGTGCGCACAAATCGAACGATTAATAAATCGAATTGAAAGAAATGTTATTGATTTATTGTTATTTACTTATTGGGTTAACAGATTTTTAATGGTTTTATAAAAGAAAATTATCAATTTGGTTTGATTTTTCAATATTGGGTTTATCGATAATCCATTAAGACGGTAATAATTTACTCCTTACCTCTACATAAATATTAAATATTAAAATCAATACCTTACTGGTTAACTATCTTTGTACTTTAGCCTTCAATTCACTTTATTGCCCTAGTTCTTTTATTTGTGTTGCACTTGTATAGTTCTTTTCATGTTTGCTGCTACTATTTTTATTTTATGAGCATTATTCAAAGTTACATCATTGTCCAATCGTGCAAAATTGTTAGAGAAGTCATATATTTATTGTATGAACATCTTCTTATTGGTTAAACCAAAAATCAAACCATAAAGGACAAAAGTTGATAAACCAATAAATAAATATCTTATTGATTTAATATATTCAAAAATTGATAATTAATAATATATCAAATCGAATCGAACCGAACCGACCAATCCACTACTCTCATAAGTTATCTCACCCATTTGTTTGAAAAGAAATGTGATGGAGGGTAGGCCCTATTTGGCCCAATAATAATACACTTAATCTAACTTCAATTGTGTGGTAGCTATGTTTGTTGGCTAGTGGAGTTTGTCTTTCAAAAATCAATGAGAAATTAATAGAATTTTTTAATAATTTAGAACATTGTTTCATCTTTGGTCCAAAATGGGCCTAAATTGTAAGACACTCACACATCATTCCATCAATAATTAAGGTTGTCGCTATATGAATAAGCAAAAAATTAACTCTAGCAATTATGATATCTCAAAAAATCTCTTAAACTAATTATCATTAAATCATAATGAATATTAGTGTTATATGAAATTACACCCACATTTCACGACACTTGTCTAATTCTGTAGTTTATTTTTCATGTATGATTTGTCGGCTATTCCCCTGTCCCTTTTTACTTGTTATTTTGACAAATCAAGAAAAGACAATATTACTTACCTATTATACCCTCAATTTATTTAGAGAATTAATGTTTTTGAAAAAAGGTAAAACCTCTAAGTAAATTGATTTTGAAATTCTATCAATTAATAGGGGTAAAATGATAAACTCACTATGTCAGTTTTTATTTTTTTTAATAGTTGTGTCAAGTAAAAAATAAATCAGTAGAGCAGAGTTTTACCATATACATATTAAAAAAATAGTGATCACGGATTTGCTTGTCATAAAAAAAAAGTTTGGTAATGCCTTAAATGCTTCACCTTTGAAATAATCAACCAAAAACCATAAATACGAACTCATTCAATGTTGAAATAAATGCCATATAAAACCGTTATGACCCTTTATTTAGAAAAATAAATGCTTTTTTTTTTCTATTTTCTTTAAAAAAAAAAGACGAAGGGAAATAGT